TGCAGAACTCATTGTCCTAAATAGCACACACAGGGCATGCTCAGAGTAGCTACCATGTCCCATGGTGCAGACATGACACAGTTCCAATGTTCATCCTGAACTCACAGGAAAATATTCTCTATACTCTTGAAGTCATTGTCAGGTCTCTGCTGGACCTGACTGTGGTCCCTCCTCTGTGTCCCTTGGCATCTTCATGACGCTCAGTGCTGCTCATGTTCTGGGGAGAAGACTGCCCTGGGATGGAGCTGTGTGGGCACAGAAAGCTGGGGTTAGAGAAAGGGGTTAGGGGAAGGGGCCAAAAGAGGGGCAGTTCCAGGCCCCTCATTCTGGGAAGCTACGACAGAGTCCATCCAACCTCAGCAGGACTACAGGGGTCCAGGGAGCAGAGAAACTACTCAGAAAGAAGATACTGCTGTGAGCCCTGTGAGTTTTGAAGAACCAAAGGCCATGGCTTCTTCAGCTCCAGCAGGCTTGATATGAGACAGGTTGCCATACTGCTAAAGTCCTTCCCAGCTCCTCTTTTCCTCCCTCCCTTTCTTGCTATTATTCTGTACTTTAAAAAAATCAGATTTCCACTGTGCCCCACGGACCACTTTTTTCTGAGACAATAAATAAGAAAAACTTCTGTATAGAAAGGGAGACCTCACAAATGGAGAGGCATCCAGTTAAAACCTTCCTTCTGAACACAAGTGTGCATGCTCAAGATGCACATACACTCATGCCTGTAGGAGGAGTGCAAAGTCCAAACAAGCCGGGGAAAGTGTGGCTTTCTCAGAAAGTTATCGGGTTCAGGAACCAATGTCAAGCAAAGGAGAGTTCCTCTTGAGTTGGGCACAAGGAAGTTGGGATTAACAGTTGCCTTCTGCAGTAGGCCTGAGATACCAGTCTTTTATCACAGCAGTTTGTATAGAAAGAACCTTTACTTGGAACATAGTTTACTCTGCAATGCATGGAAGCCTCCAGAAAGAAGGCTCTGACCTCAAGAAGGTTATGGATCTGAAAGAACCTAACCCAGGGCCTGGCTCATAGCTAGCATTCAGCAAATGGTATCTTTGGGTTTTTTGTGCGTTTATGTTTGTTTTTGTTTTTGTGTGTGTGTGTTTTTTTTTAGAAAAAATTGTCCATGTTTCCATGTAAAAACAGCAGGATTCTCCAGGGGAGCAAAGGAGTATTTTCAGGTGACATACATTTACCTACTCTCCAAAGTGGAGCACAGGCAACATCCAGACACAAGGAATGCAAGGTTGGTGTGATGGCTCGTGTCCAAAATCCTACCACCCAGGAGGCTAAGGAAACAGGATGAATGCAGGCTCAAACAACAAATCAAGAATCAGCAATGGGGTTGGGAAAGTTTAAGGGGGAGACATCACTAAAAACACCATAGAAACAACCAGAGTCATAAGTGTAGACGGATGGATTTATCAGCCACCAGTCACTGCTCCGATCTTGTCTGGGCAGTGATGTAGGATTTATTTTGCACTGAAGGCATGTAAAGGTAATGCAAACTCTATTCCTTAAACCTGGATAGGTCATGTAGCTGCTCATGGCCACATGGTGGGCCTACACATAGCTTATTTAGTTGGTTCACTCTGTGATTATGAGCAACTGACCACTGGATTGAAGGGGCAGAACTAGAGCCCAAGTAGCTGGTGGTAAGATCTACAAACAAGCTGCACGACACCAATGACTCTGCCTAGCACCCAAGGAGTAACCAGTAAATTTGTGTAGAGTACCCAGTAAGTCTGTGTAGAGTACCCAGTAAGTTTGTGTAGAGTACTCAGTAAGTTTGTGTAGAGTACCCAGTAAGTGTGTGTAGAGTACCCAGTAAGTGTGTGTAGAGTACCCAGTAAGTGTGTGTAGAGTACCCAGTAAGTTTGTGTAGAGTACCCAGTAAGTTTGTGTAGAGTACCCAGTAAGTTTGTGCAGAGTACCCAGTAAGTTTGTGTAGAGTACCCAGTAAGTTTGTGTAGAGTACCCAGTAAGTTTGTGTAGAGTACCCAGTAAGTTTGTGTAGGTGCTTAGTTCATCAAATACTTCCTGAGTCACATTTGGAGAGCTAGTACTTAGGGTCTGAACGACAAACCCAAGCTGAATCTCCATCTAGCTCAGTCTGAAGCCCCTCTGCCAGCTCCCTTCTTGGTACCCTCCTCCCTTAGTCCTGGGCCTTCTCCCTCAGATTCCCTCAGGCTCTGTGGCTTCTCCGTTTCCTTCATCTGTTTTCAGACATTTCCTTGGTTACTTCTAGCCTCAGTTTCTTTTCTCCTCAGGACCTGGGGATTTGCTCTGTTCTACTCACAGGTGACAGACCCTTTCACCTGTTCCCACATTATTTTCTGAGTGGGGAAACTACAGGTAAAAGGTCACACAAGCAGCAAATGGCAGAGGCAGCACTCAAATTCAGTTTCATTGTTCCTCAAGCCCATGTATTCTATGCAAAGATGAGCCTTTATGAGCCAGCCATTGAAGAAGTAGTGGGGCCAACACTCTATGGATAAATGTATAAACCAGTGTGTCTCTGTTACTCAGGACACTAATACACTCTCTGAGCTGGTATGAAAGCACAGGCCTTCTTCCTATACTCTCCATATGTGTCAGTGTGTTAAAACACAAGTATTCTATGTATAATTTAGAGTTTGTCCTCCATCACCTAGAAGCTCATCTGTGACTCGTTCTGAGTCAGTGGCCTCAGGTTTAAGATCCCCAGCCTGCAAATACCTTTGAACTACTTTAAATAAAACCAAGATGAGGGTTTCTTTCTCATCTGCTCTGACCTGCTTCAGTAGGCAAGAAGAAAACACCATATTATAAACTGCTTTAGGAGCAGGTGAAATGTGTTCATGAAAGGCTGGGAATTTGGTCAAGTAGTCAAGTACTTAGCCAACCATGCCCAAGGTCCTGTGTATGATCTATAGCACTAACAACTAAAAGTGCTAATTAAAACTGGACATTTAGGGGTGGCGATATAAATCAGTGGGTAGAATGTTTGCTTAGCCTGCCTGAGGACCCATGTCTTATTCCCAGCACAGTAGAAACTGGGTATGGTGGCACATATCTATGATCCCAGCACCTGAGAGGTAAAGCGAGGAGGATCAGGAACTCTAGGGGTTTTATTCTTGGCTGTGCAATAAGTTTAAAGACTACATGAGAACTTGTCTTTGAAAGGAAGTAAAATAGCACACACAACTTTTATTATCATAGCTTATTTATTATCAGTTTCAACTCAGCTTATACTAACTGCGGACACTGTAGCAGCATGATAATCTGGTTTCCTCTTCCACTGTTTGCGTAGAGTTCATCCCAGGATGAAAACAGAGTGACCTTCCAAGGCAGCAACCCTGCTTCCCCTTACATGCTGCACATCGATGGCGTGAGAAGAGTCTGGTTGTGTATGAGAAGATGGCGCTCTGGGTAAAAGTGTTTGCCACGAAAGAATGACCGCCTAATTCTGTCCATACAACCCTCATAATAAGCCAAATATGGTGGCTTACAGCAGGTATCCCAGCACTCCTCTATTGAGATGAGTGGTAGAGATGGGAAAATCAGTCAGAAGCTCAAGGTCAGCTAGCCGGAGGCACACAGTGCATTGGCAGAATTACCAAGAGAGAGTCTGCCTCAACAAGGTGAAAGCTAAGAATCAACTGGAGGTTTTCCTCTATCATGCACATACACCCCTGTGCACTTGCATGCCTGTGTACACACGAGCACACAGACACATATGCACACTAAATAAGAGGCTCACTGCGACACAGTGGTTACTAAAGCAATGGGCTGTGGGATATGAGGGATTGATGATCGAATATGCAGGATCGCCTGCAGGGCCCTGGGAAAGCAGCTTAGACCCTCATGCAGCCTTACCTGTCCAGCCTCTAGAGTAGCCTGGCAGAAGCAGCATCTTCCCTTAGGGTTATGGGCTTCTGAGCTGCCACTTACACTGTGACCTTCTCTCAGAATGTCTGTCCATCAATGCATCCAAATGGAAAGGTCCACAAGAGCCCACTTAAGGCCGGAGAGATGGCACAGAGGTGAAAAGTATTGTCTGCTCTAGCAGAGGACCTGGGTTAGGTTCCCAGCACCCAAGTTCAGAACTGCTTGTAACTCCAGTTCCAGGGGGTCTGATGCCCTCTTCTGGCCTCCTGGACACTGGGGCACACATGTGGCACACATATATACACACACAATTTTTTAAAGGCCCAGATTAACTGGTAAACTTTCCTTTACCCATCTCAGCAGTTTGGGTTAGAATTTATCACTCTTCACAAAGTCTCATAAGAACGTGATTGACAAGCCTCAATCACAGCATAGGACACTGTGTTCAATTCTGCTCTCCTGGCGTCTCTAAGATCTTAAGGGAAGAACCCATGTATCCCCAACAGGCCAACATGGGATCTCAATAAACAACTTGGAAATGAACTCAACTATACCAGCAAATCCCAGGGTGTCTGGAAGGCTTAGCAAGTTCCCCCATGTTCTAAGTTTCCTGGCTTCTGAAGACCCACACCCTTCAATCCCTTCTGTAAAGGATCCAGTATACAAAGTAATGTTGCTATTCAGCTTTGGGGCTGTAACCGTGAGAAACATTCTGCAATTCACCTCCATATAAACACGTTGCTAAGGAAAAGAAACAGGTCTCCTTTGTCAGAGGGAATGGCTGGCAACCAGGAGGAGCTGGGATAAACTCAGGCCATGTGTTTCCAGCCAGGGCCTTACCTCGCAGACCAACCATCAAACCTCAACCTGGCTGAGAAGCACATGTAACAGAATCAGGGACACCAGGCAGGCCTGGAGGCTTCAGTCTTTCCAAATGGACATTCAACTTGCTGCTGGTTGGAAAAGGAGGCTAAACAGATGAGGAAGACAGGAAAGCACCGCATCAACTCTGTTCAAACCGCAACGCTGCCAAGCATAAGCGCATGTGGAAACCTCTCCTCCTGCTTCATTACTAGGCATCTTGGGGAAACTAAGAATGATGTGAGGAGAATAGAGTTGTCATGATTCTTCAAAGGGGGCGTTTATTGGGTAGCTGGACGAATGTGTTGAGAAGTGTAACCGAAGAACCAGGGCTTGCAAGCTGTGGGTGGAAAGTTGAATGCCAGAAAGAAATAAGTTTCCTTAATGGAGATCAGAATAAACAAGTTAGCAGCATTGGCAGTTGACTTCTGAATTCCGATGGTCCTGAAAGGGAATAGGGAGACAAAAGCAAAGAGATCCACCAGGAGGTCTGGCATGTTGTCTTCAGTTCAACCTGCCTATGGAGGAAATGACCACTACCCTAGGAATGCCAGGTGGCTTCCATCTCCCCATTTCCAGTCCCTAGAGCAAGTCTCCCTAAGGCCCTGGGAAGAGCTATCGACAGTATTCTACAGGTCCATATGGAAGATGACAGCAAGGCTTATGGGTGGGGACTATTTCAACAGCATTCAGGGATTATCAAGTTTCCTTAGTTGAGATGTCTTGGTGACTAAAGTACTTGCCCTACAAGTGTGAGGAGTAGTTTGGATTCCCAGAAACCTTGTAAATGAGGGTGGGCATTGTTGCCTGTAAAAAGACAAAGACCCTACCCTCAAAAGACAAAGACCTGACATCCTCCAAACAAGCTGCCTAGCAAGGTTACCTATATTGGCAAGTTCTGGATTTGATTGAAAGACCTTCCCTTGCTGAAGAAGATGGAAGAGCAATGGAGGATGACTCCAACTAGCAACCTACATATGTGTGGACCCATACAGAAACAAGCATGCACATGAACACGTGTGGGCACACATGCGTGCACACACACACACACACACGCACATGCACACACACAGAGAGAGAGAGAGAGAGAGAGAGAGAGAGAGAGAGAGAGAGAGAGAGAGAGAGAGAGAGAGAAATGAGGGGAAAAGGGGGGCTTTCTTAGTTTTGTGTCCAGAGAGGAAATTAGAGCAGGTGGCTGGCAGAAGCAGCAAGATCGAAAGTCAAGTGAAACCCATAAGCAGACAGCAAAATTGGTATTGAGAGGACAAAGCCAATCCACAGAAGCAAAGCACTTTCTGGGGACTTGTCGCACATGTGTGTTTCATTTATAGATGCTTCCCCTAAAGAAGGAACTTTGCCACCACAGCCTCCTCCTCCCCTACTTCCTCTTCACTTCCATTTCTTCCTTTCTTCTCCTTCTTCCCCTCTTTCTTCTTTCTCCTCCTGACCTGCTCTTTTCTCTTTGTTTGGAATAAGGTCATAAAACAGTGTGCTATGGTTGGGAATGCAGACAGCTCAACTCGGCACTGGCATCAGATCGCCTTGGCTCTCACAAGCAGAGCTGCCACCTTGTATTCTGCAACAGTCAGGCTGGAGCAGACAGACACTTCCTAGAACCTTGTAGTGTTCACATCCTGTGATCGCTTTAGCATCCCTGCTGCTCTGGGGTGCAAGGCTGTTTGCTGACAGTATGAATGGACTGCTCCTACTCCCCAGGGCATTTCCACAACAACTCACTGATCCTCCCGGAGCACAGCTGGCCCTGGAAAGGATTTTCCAAACAGAGGTCATTGGTACCCCAGCTAGCATTCAAAGCAAAGCTGTTTCAAACACAATGTGTCGACAGGCTTGTCGGATGGTGCTCTTTGAACACAGGGGCATGAGTGAGTGGCCTCACACATCACATCATCTTAAAGGCAATAAAACCTCCACTCCCCACTATAGTTTTTTAAAGAAGAATTACCAACAGGTTTAATGCATAAGTATAGGAACTTAGCCATGTACCTTGCTCAACAATGCATTTACGTGAAGTCTCCCACCCCAATATTTGGGGGTGACATACCCTTGTCAGTAGCTTTGGGTTCTTTCATTTCTCCTTCCTTCCCTCATCTTCTTCTGTGCCTTGAGTTTAAACTTCCAAGGCCATCTCAGGCTTGCTGGCTGCTCTGTCTAGATGAGCTTCTTAGAAATTAAAGAAATTCACCTTTGGAAAGGAGTTTTCATTCAAGGGCTATATTGGGCAGATTCTGTAAGCGGTTGTCTTGAGGAATGAAGGGAGAGAAAGAATAACTCAGTGTTTTCACTCTAGGGTAAGAATATGGGCAAAGTGTTTGTCTAGAAGGCTGCTTTGGGTTTCATGCCTAGAATCTCATGAACTGGGAGTAGAGACACACACTTGAATTTCCAGCACTAGGGAGGTAGCGGCAAGAGGATCAGAAGTTCTAGGGTCATCCTCAGCTACACAGTGAGCTTGAGGCTAGCCCCCTCTCAAAAACCAAACACACCACCTTTCTGTTCATTTTAGAAATTCTAACACTAGGCTTTCAATACGCCCAAGATCCAGAAGGTAAATCAATCAGGTAGTCCCTGGCAGCCCCAGGTCCAGAACTCAGAGCTTTGGACCCCCAACTTAATCCTATTCGGTAAAGGAATGGCTGTCTGGGTTCTAGGGTGACTGACTCCCCACCAACAACAGGCACTTCAGAGCAAAGGTATCAAAAAGAAAGAATTCTAACAACCCCTCATATCATCTGCTGGAAAGCAGGGCTTTGGGGTATTTTTAGTGACTACATTCTTGTGGTTAAAATCAAGGCTACAACTGGATTTTGCTTAAAATAATGAAGCATAAGTTAATGTACCCCACCTTGTCTTTTGGCATCACAACCCCCCCTTTAAAAGTTACAGTTTCTATAATTATAGGACTGGAACTCTGTCACACCACTGGGCAAGGAGTCACTTGAAATGTGCTAGAATAAAATATAGATGGAGATTTAATTACCACGCTACCACAGTTTTCTTTTTTTTTTTTTTTAAGAGCAGCATGTCAGCACTTCCATAAACCGATTTGCATTACGTTAAAATTAATGGACCAGAACCCTGCACTCCGGAGAAGAAGAAGTGGACCATACCCCAGTGCTGCCGGTCTCCACCTCCCAGCACCAGCTGCACATTGGCCAATACTTGAGTCTCCACTGTAGTTACAAAGCCCCTGTGGCCTCTAAGAGTAAGACTGCCTATCCCAGCCCAAACCCACACCAATCCCATTCTCAAACATCCAGGACCTGCTGGTGTGGTCTTGAGGCAGAGAAACAGCAGCTCATCAAAATACTAAGCTTTAGATCTACTGAATAGAAGTTCATCTCCTACCCCCCATTATTCATTTTATTTACAGTGTGTGTGTGTGTGTGTGTGTGTTTTAATAACAGAAACAGGGAAGAAACTAAGACACCAAGTGTGGTAGTTTGAATGTAATTGGCTCCCATAGGCTCATAGGGAATGGCACTATTAGGAGGTGTGGCCTTGTTGGAAGAAGTGTGTCACTGTGGAGGTGGGCTTTGAGGTCAAGCTACACTCAGTAAAGCCACAGCTCACTTCCTATTGCCTGCAGGTCATGATATAGAACTCTCAGCTCCTTCTCCAGCACCAGGTCTGCCTGCATGCTGCCATGTCCCACCATGATGATAATGGACTAAACCTCTGAAACTGTAAGCTACCTAATTAAAGCTTTCCTTTATAGAAGTTGCCATGGTCATAGTGTCTCTCACAGAAATAGAAACCCTAACTAAAACACCAAGGATAACTTGAAAAACAAGCTTTCCAAAAGCTCAGATCAGCAGGAGTGATAATGCTCATCTTATCCTTCCTTCCTTCCTCCCTCCCTCCCTCCCTCCCTCTTTCCCTCCCTCCCTTCCTCCCTCCCTCCCTCCCTTCCTCCTGCTCTCTTCCTTTTGTGTGTATATGGAGAGGGTGTCCTCAAACATATGTGAATGGCTATGGATGCCAGAGGTTTATTCCTCAGGTGTCTGTCCCCTTGGGTTTTTTGTTTGTTTTTGAGACGCTTGCCTGGGGCTCGTCAATTAGGCTAGGCTGGCCGGCCATGGGGCACTAGCAACTCACCTGTTTCCACCACTCCAGCACTGGGATTATAAGTGTGCATGAACTCGTGAAGATTTCTATGTAGCACGAGGGATAGAACTCGGGCCCTCCTAGCACAACTGACTAAATAAACTCTAAGTTAACTGATTGTTTATTTTTGCAGGACTAGGGTTGGAAACCAGGGCCTTGCATGCATTAAGTAAACAATCTACTACTGAACCACACTCCTAGCTCTAAATTTTATTTATTTTTATTTTTGTTTTTTGAAACAGCTCTCATGTAGCTCAGACTGATCTCCAGCTCACTGTGTAGCCATAGATGGCCTTGACTCTCTTCCCTCCAACTCGCAAATGTTGGGAATACAACTGCACACCACTAAGAACTTAACCCAGGACTTTGGGAATGCCAGGCAAGGACTCTACCAACTGAGCTACAACCAAGCCCTTGTTTAATTTTAATTAGCTTAAATTTAAAAGCTGCCCATGACTACTGATAATCTACTATATTAGAGGCAGCCTGAGTATGTAGAAACACCATGGCAGCACAGGCCCCATTAAAAGAAGGGTAATTGATGAGATATTAAAAGTACCAGTCAGATAACCCAGAAAGGCTTCAACAAATATATTTATACATGTTGAATACATTCAGAGAGTCAAACAAGCAAAATGCCAGATCTGCAATGGGAAAAAGGTAACATTTTTATGGGAGGCTGAGCTGACAATAAGAGAGCCTCTACCTAGGGAAGGACTGAACAAGTTGGTAAATTTATCAAAGACAAAAGTCGGGGGGGGGCAAGAGAGATGGCTCAGTGGGTAAAGTGTCTGCTTCAGGAGCATGAGGCCCCCAGTCCTGATGCCTAGCACTCATGGAAAAGCCAAGCAAGCTGACCTGTGTCTGTAACCACAATGCCAAGGGGGAAAACAGGCAAGCACCAAGGTGCCATGGGCAGGTCAGTCTAGCTCAAACAGTGCATGCCATGCTCAGTGAGATCCTGTCTCAAAACGCAAGGTGGAGAAACAACTGAGGGAGACATTCCAGCATCAAGCTCTGGCCTTCACTCGTGTGCATGTAAGCATGCACACCTACCTCAGTTTCCTTCTCAAACCTCTGCTCTCAGGGGACTGCTGGTGCTTGGAAATTCCCCTTGTAGTCTTACTCCAATCCGTAAGACTGCTAGTGTACAACTCCTTACAGTCAGGCAGACACCGCCCCCCACAAAAATAAACAGAAAAGTAGCTAATGCAGACATGAGCAATCTCCCGTGTGACTATAATCAGTGTCACAGAAAGATCCAGGATGAAGATGAATATACCTTAAAAGTCACTTCTTTCTCACTTTTTCTCCTTGGATGTTTCATGTTTAGCCTGCACACTTTTCCAGAGCTTTCTCCCTCATGATCACTCATGTAGTTTGAATTCTTCACTTGCTTTCCCATCACCACCCCAGCATGTCTCACGTGACAGACCCTAGAAAATTATGCTAATGTCTTCCCGTGCCACAAGACACTGATAGGCAAAGGGCATGTTCATTAAGAAGACATTTATTTATTTATTTGTTGTCTTTGAAATCAAATATAATTTCCATATTTCTCTCTTCCCTTTGCTTCCTCCAACCCCTCCCATGTCCTTCCCCTCAAACTCCTACTCTGTTTTTGGTATATCTCTGTCTCTGTCTCTCTCTCTCTCACACATACACACACACACACACACACACACGCACGCACGCACGCACGCACATGCACACACACGCACACACAACTTGCCCAGTCTCTTTAATGTTACTTGTGTTTTGTCATTTCAGGGTATACCAACTAATGCTGAAAAGCCAAATAAGGGGATTATCCCAAGGGAAGATTATTTCTCCTGTTCTCAGCATTCCTTAAATGCCTGTATATTTTTAAAGTTTTGTTTTATGTATACAAGTCTTTGCTGCTCTGTGTGTGTGTGTGTGTGTGTGTGTGTGTGTCATGACATGTGACGGTCAGAGGACAACCTTTGGGAATCAGTTCTTTCCTTCTACTATGTGGATTCTGGAAAGCAAATTCAGGTTGTCAGACTCAGTGGCAGGCACCTTTGCTAGCTAAGCCATCTTAGGATGTATAGTATAGCAACACAGCATCCAAGCGCGTACTCACAAGAAATCCTACTGAATGCTCATGATACAACTTGGTGCTTCCATGTTTTTCCCCCCAAGTGTGTAATGATGCCCATACCTGAGCCCAGAGAAACTTTCATACAATTAGTTGTTATACCTAAATTAGCTTGTATGACAAGATAAAATTAAAGACTTACAGTATGGGCTAGGTGTCAAAGAGGACACAAGATGAATGTATGTAAAGGCTTAGGAGCACGAATCCAGTCATCAACACTGCCTGCAGGCCTGGTGAGGTGGCACAATCATTTCAGAGACGTTGTCAATGTCCTAACCCTCAAATATGCCCTTTCCTATGCCTAGGGCCCATGAAACAGCATCATTCGGTCATTGCAGGCAGAGTGAGGTTAAGAATCTAAATGATGTGATGCTGGATTTAAGGTAGCCCTATATTCAATGACACTGAATTCTAACAGAGAAAGTCAGGTGATTTGAATCATAAAGACATGCAAAGAAAATCTTCAAGGCCACATGAAGATGAGGCAGTTGTCAAATCCACAACATTGGGTCGAGCTCCTGGGGTACAATCAAAGTGAGGGAAGGGCGATAGTATGAACAAAGGAGTCAAGACATGATGGGGAAACCCAGAGAATCTGCTGACCCGAGCTAGTGAGAGATCACTGACTCTGGTCTGACAAATGGGGAACCTGCATAAGACAGAACTAGACTCCCTTAATATAGGTGACAATGGTGTGACTGGGACAATATATGAGGACACCAGCAGTGGGTCCAGGATCTAACTCTAATGCACAAACTGACTTAGTGGAGCCCATTCTATATGGAGAGATACTTTGCTCAGCCTAGACACAGGGTGTGGGGGGTGAGGAGGTGCCTTGATCCTATCTCAATGAGATGATGGGACAGACTTAGTAGACTTCCTAGGGGAGGCCTTACCAGATGGAAGGTTGGGGCCGGGGAGTAGGGGGAGTGGGAGGAGAGGAAGGAGGAGGAACTGGGATTGGAATGTAAAGAATAATAATAAAAAGATAATAATAAAGGAAAAAAGATGGAGGCAGAGGGTGCAGTGGTGCATCTAGAAGCCCAAGAAAGCTGAGGACGTCTGGGGCTTCCAGACATTAGGAAGCAAGAAAATAAATTACCCAGAGAACTTCAAGAAGTAACCAGCCCTCCTGATCCCTGACCATTGGCTTCTGCTCTGTGGAATACTGAAGAAAGAAGTCCTGCTGCTTTAAGCCAATGAGGTGGGGGTAAAATAGGGCAGCTAGCAGATGAGGTGAGGCAGTCATTCAGGAGCTGATTTTGTCTCTCAGTTAGGGTACCATGAGGCAGGTAGGCACAAAAGCCTTGGTTCAGTCAAGGCCACTTCTTATGTTTACAGAACTGCACAGAGAAGGCACAGAATGTCTTGAGAATAAACTGGAGGCCTTGGCTACCTTCGGAAGCTCAATACTAAGAAAGGCAGAAGATATTTGAGTTACAGAGACACATAGAAATAGTAGGCTGAGAGTTCACCAGGAACAATGGGGTATCTGAGACAACTAGCTACTGTCCCTGGGCCAGCTCACCATTACCCAATGAGAAGGGACCTTCAGGAACTGCTTGGGCTGTGGGGCTTCCTCTACTCAGCACATCTACCAGGGAGGCCTACTGGAGAGATGGAGCCCATTCTGTAGCCTCTGTAGTCTGGCCCCACCAGAGCATCTATACACAGGGATTCCTGATGGGCAAAAATTCAGAGGGAAGATACTATTGCCACTGTGGGGTTAGAAGAGAAGGGTCCACATGCAGCAAAACTGGACCTCTGTTGCTGCTTCTTGCATTTCAGTCTCCTCAGCATGGGGTCTCCAGGTATCTGGGAGAATCACAGGCTAGAGCTGAGCTGAGCAAAAGCCCTCATCATGTGTGCCAGGAAATCTGCTTCCCATAGCAGCCTTTCGTGCTACCCAAAACATGATCAGAAACTCATCAGTTATTCTGTGTTGTAAACTCCAGAAGGGAAATGGGATTGAGCAGATGCTAGTAAGTATAGTCTGCTGTTCTTTTATAATACACTATTTTGAAAAATCTTTGAAGGAGATGTGTGAATAGGTTCCTGTATATGTGTGTGTATGTATCACCATGGTGTTGTTCCTCTCCTTCCACAGGGTTTGAGACTGGGTTCCCTTATTGTTAGATGCTGCGTAAGCAAGTTTAGCTGAACAGTAAGTCTCTGGGTACGTCTCCTGTCTCTGTCTCCCCCGTCACTATAGGAATGCTGAGACCACAGACATGAGAGACCACATATCCAGCTTCAAGCTGATTCAGGTCGGCAGGCTTGCGTGGGAAACCGCTTACCCATTGGACATCTCCACATGTCCTTTTGTTCTGGTCAAGTCAAATAACGCACTAACTTTTCCACCCAAGTTCATCAGCTCTCTTCTTTCTTGACATTTCTCTCTGCCCTCATGCTTTTCCTTCTGCCCTCTTCTACCAAAGAAACGTCCAGAGTAAAGTTATCTCACTGCTAATGAGCTCATCACCAGTGGTAACACTTTGGAGTAATCTCTTATTTGCTTCTTGGCTTTCACCTATACTGTCCGCATTCTTTATACTGACTGTACATTAGGAAGATTGTGACATTAAAGTCATACTTGTAGAAGAAATATAGTAAAACTACTACATGAAGTGAGAAAAAGGAAGACAGAGGAAAGAGGTGAGGAAAGAAGGCTAGAAGGAGGAGGACAGAGGGAGGCAAGAGATAAAGGAGAGAAGGGAGGAAGGAGAGGAGGGGGAGAGAAAGGCAGAGTGACAAAAGGGAGGGAAAGATGGAGGAAGGCAAGAGGGACATAAAAGAGGAAGAGCAGGCATGAGTGGAGAGAGAAAAGGGAGGATGGAAGAGAGAAGATAGAGAAGGAGACAAAATATGAGACTGAATGCTACACACTAATAATGGTGAAGCCATCGCTGCACACCTACCCACACACTTTGAAGATCAGTGTAGACCCTCCTACCCTATATCACAAGAGAAGGCCTAGGTGAAGCTATGACAAATCTCCAGAAGCTAGCTCATTAAGACTGGCCTGGGCAGTGGCAGGTCACTATGGCTAAGGCTCTCCAAGAACAAGAATGCAATCACCCCTCAGAGCTTGGTCTGAGAGACTGAAAGCTCCCAGTTACCAGGATGACACACTAGCCTCTCTGGTTCAAGTCCCCATACAGACCTCCTGTGCTTCTGCCACTTACGGCCTTTAACATGCCTGAAGTCACTTACCCTCTCTGAGCCACAGCATTGTGATCTATGAAGCAGGGATAAGAGACCCAAGAGTGAACCCCACCTCTCACAGCCCAAGCTGTGTCGCTAGGTGTAGAGTCCAGTCAGAGAGAGTCACGATACACAGTGTGTTGATGAAGTGCTAGGCTCCAGATGCTGAACCAGAGGCTAGAAAATTAGATCAACCTCAACACTACTTAAGCTCAGGTACCTGTAAGCTTCCTTCCTGCCTGCTGTGAGCTCACCATGCCTACCCCTGTGAGGTAGGTTGTTTATGATTCCCATTTCACAGACTGAAGCTGCTGCAGTTTGGATCTGAAGCTACCTCAAAGGCCTGTGAAGAGGGTGCAATTGGTGGGGGAGAGTGGGGGGCTTCTAGTGATATGATCTTTGCTAGGCCCTTAGGCCATTGAGAGACATGCTCTTATAGGGGATTTGGGACTCCAGGCCCTGTGCTTTGTCTGTCCCCTTTTTTTTGTTGTTTGGTTTCACGAGACAGGGTTTCTCTGTATTGTTTTGGAGGCTGTCAGTCCAGCCTGGCCTCGAACTCACAGAGATCCACCTGCCTCTGCCTCCTGAGTGCTGAGATTAAAGGCGTGCACCACCACCGCCCGGCCTTTGTCTGTCCCTTGTTGGTGTGTTGGCTAGTTTTTATTGTAACTTGATGCAACCTAGAGTCACCTGGGAAGAGGGACCTTCAATTGAAGAATTACCCAGATCAGACTGGCCTGTGGCCATGTCAGTGAGAAACTGTCTCGATTGATGATTCATGTCAGGCCCAGCCTATGGGAAACACTATCTCTAGGCAGGCAGGTCTCTGCTGAGCATGGGCCTTTGAGAAAACAAGCTAATGAATGAACAACCAAGCATTATTCCTCCATGTTTTCCATGTCAGTCCCTGATCGAGTGCCTGTCCTGACTTAACCTCAATGGCAGATTGTGATCTGAAAGCAGAAGCCAAATAGACCCTTTCCTCCCCAGGTTGATTTTGGTCAGAGTGCTTTAGTCGTGGAAAAAGGAAAGCAAACCAGAACACTGACCATGAGGGAGCAGTTTGTTCCTCCACACATTTTCTGCCATTGCCACTTGACAGACAACTCTTCACAGACACCCAGAACTTTGACCCTGGTCCCTATCAGCCTCGCTCCTCAGTTCTGGCTCTCTGGTTTAAGCTGGACAGTCCTTTCTACTTTGTCCCCGTCACCCGTCTCTCTTCCTATCAGGTCTTTGTCACTGTAGGAGGTTGCTTCGGAGACCTTATTCCTTCTGATCACCTTCTCTTGGTTCAGAGACAAGCCGAGCACAAACAACAGAACTAGTTAAAAAACAAGCCAAACTCCCAGTTCTAAAGTGCTGGATCCTTGTGTTTGTAAATTCCCAGTCAACTGCCTGCAAACCTCCCTGCCTTTCTCTAAAGACACCATAAAAGGAGAAATCAGAACAGAAAGGACCTTGCTCCAGAGCAAGCTCACATATTAATTTACAACAGTCCACATGCTCTGGGCATTACCTCATGGCCACATCTAGGCTCCATGCAAGTGTCTACCCTGAGACTTGAAACTCCCTTGTATCTGAAGGTAGCTTACTCCAGGGCCAAGGAGCATTTCTCATGAAATACGTAAGCATACCCTTTACTTTCTGATTCTCCTGTACTCTCGAGGAGTGGCCAGCAGAAAAGGCAGAGTAGGGGCAACTGAGCCATCGCCCAAGGAGTTCTTCACTTCAGAGACAGCCAATACTATGGGACTGGCTCTAAGACACTAAGCTAATTAGGGAAAACTCCATGACTCAAAGTTCAAGGTTTGGATAGTGGTATTAGGGGAGGATGACAGTTACAAGCAGACATTAGTTCTAAATTCCCCAGAGATGGGATACTGAATATTCTCATCACAAGGAAATGATAAATGTTTGTTCTGGTATACATGCTAATAATCCTGGTTTGATCACACTACACCATGTGTAGATTGAAGCATCACAATGTACCCAACAATACAATATGTGCTAACAAAAATATAAAATTTCAAAAACAAAATAAATGTTTTAATGGAGGCAGGGGCTGGAAAGATGGCTCAGTGATCAAGAACAATGGCTGCTCTTGCAGAGGATCAGGATTTAGTTCGCAGGGCAGCTCACAGCCATCTATAACTCCAGTTCCAGGGGGTCCAATGCCCTCTTCTGACCTCCTCAGGCACTGGACACATAAGAGATACAAAACATTCTTGCCTGCAAAACACTCATACTCATAAAAGAAAAATAAGAAAATCTTTAAAAATTTAAAAACATTCTTGAATGCAGTTGTTGGGGAAATATGAAAAAGGGAGTTTTTGAGTACAGGACAGTTTAACAACGGAATGGAAAAGTGAGGTACCATTGAGAAAACCCTTCTGCTGGCTGCTCCTGACTGAAACTGACTTTCTGCTTAATTCTCATAACCTTTTAAAGAAATTATCAGTACCAGTTTATATGGGGGAAGAAACTGAAGCAAGGGATCATCTAGAAACACTTCCACAGTTTCTAGCTACCTATTATGGAGTGAGAGTCCATTTCACCTTCAAATCAGCTGTTCTGCCTTTGTCACACAGTTTCCTCAAACCATTCCCTAATTCTCCAGTCCAGAATGCATCCTGAGACCTCAGTCCTCTATCAGGACCATCTAGGGTAGCCCAAGGTCTTCTCTGTGTGTGCCCTCAGAGGTGCATCTGCCAGCCTGGCTGAGGGCCTGTCCTTCCAGCCAAGGTTCTGGGAACCTCACATAGCTCAGGAAAGTCAGAGCAGTGAACACTGCCTTGGCGGGATGGTTTTCCAGGCTGTTTGGCTATGTGCTTTCTCACCCCAGCCCTGCCTGGAAAGCTCTTGGCTATTCACCAGGCCAGACCAGTTTAGCCAGTTTCAGTTTAGAATGGCTACTTATAGCTAACCAGTTGATTCTAGTGAATCAGGGCTTGGCTCACTAGGTAAGCACTTTTTCTAGGAGGTGGGGTGGATGATGGGACACATTGCGGCCCCCCACCAAGGGGTAGGCTTCTCTGGGCCATCAGTCTGGGGCACCACAGAGTCCACCACTTGTGTGGCATGTGCAGCTCTTACCACCTCCCATGATTCTCTCTTGGGCTGGAAAACTGCCACTTCACTTTCTTAGTTGGTTTTTGGCATGGAAATAGGGAGGTGGCTGAGGACTGCACCCACTCACCCGCATCCACATGCCCAGCTTCCTCTGGCTAGCCCAGGACCTCGGTAACCTCTACAGACTTCTTCCTTACTCTCCCATTCTCTCAAGATTTCACACTTTCCCACCAAAGCAAAGTACCTGTACACACACACACACACACACACACACACTCACGTATGCACGCATGCGCACGCATGCACTAAAATCAAAAGCATGTCTAATGACTCAGTCGTCATTGTTCTTTGTACCTGTGGTACTTGAAAGATGACCAGGATATATTAAACATGGACGATAGCTGATGACCAGTGCTAACACCAACTGCTTAGATTACCGACCTTCAATTTCATAATAAACAGTAATACCCAAAATGATCACTTACTTTCTTTAAAGGCTAAAAGGATAAAGTAGAAAATCTTATGCTTTATATATTGCTAGTGAGAAATTTCAGTTTTTTAATAACTTGGGTTTAATTTTTTTTCTTGTTTTATCATTTGAGGCAGGATCTCACTATGTAGCCCTGGCTGTCCTGGAAGTGTAAACCAGGTTGGCTTTGAACTCACAGAGATTCACCTGTCTCTGCCTCCTAAATGCTGGAACTAAAGGCATGCACCATCACATCCAGTTATTTCTTATATTTAAATAGAAATTAAATTTTGGATCTCACAAGATATCAAAAACTTTCAATAGAGGATATTTATAATCTATTACTTATTTCCATGCCACTTCTATAAGACCTTTGTCATAAAAATTGACCTTTGCTTTAAAAGTTGGAGTTGAGGCAATGGCTTGGTTGGTAAGCACTTGCTGTGTAAGTGTGAGGATGCATTGGAACCCTAGCAACTATGTAGAAATCTGAGCACGGTGAAACACTCTTATAATTCCAGTTCTGGGGATAACAGCAGCTTCCTGGCCAGACAATCTCACCTTATCAACCATTCCTCAGTACCAGTGGGAGGCCCTGTCTCAAAAGTCACTGTGGGGGCTGGAGAGATGGCTTGGCACTGATTGTGCTTCCAGAGGACCCAGGTTCAATTTCCAGAACCCACATGGTGGTTCACAACTGTCTGCAACTCCAGTTCTAGGGGACTTGTCACACTCACACACACACACACACACACACACACACACACACACACACACACACATATATATATATATGCAGGCAAAACACCAATGCACATTAAATAAAAATTTAAAAAAAGTCCATGTGGAAGGGCTCCTAGGGAACAACTTTTAAGGTTGACCACAGGCCTCCGCACATATATGCATACATGCAAGCATGTACACCACACATGTGAACATGAATACCTACCCATAAACACACACAATAAGTTTTTGAAAGTTGAAAAACAATTGTCCTAATTACTTAACAGACAAAATACATTCTAGAGGCTTGTGTCTCTGGAAGAGGAAGAGAGAGCAGGTGGGTGCAGCCCTCATACAGGCTAGAGGAGCAAGACATGGAAGCTTTGTCCTCCCTTCCCCTCAAGATTCAAACGCCAAGGTGGCTTTTTCGTATGAAGATTTTGTTACTTGCTGAGCTTCGCTGGGGTCCAGCTCTTCCGGGTGGCTTTCCACATTCTGCCTCCACGGCCGGCCCTCTCACCCCCTTTACAAGGAGAAGGCTGAGAGTGGGGAAACCCCATCCAGCACCGCCCAGACTGTGATTTTGCAGCTTTATTTTACACATGCTCATTCTGTGGGAGGCTCCCTGCAGATGTGGAAGAACCTTCATCACTGACCTCTTGTTAAAAGACAAACAGCCAGGGAACAAGCCCAGCACGATACATAGCTGCTCAGCTATCAGCTGCTCTCCAGAACGGCAGTCTCCAGAGGAGACTTGGACACCATCTTATCAAGACTGCTGGGCCTGGAAGGTCCCTGGTAAGGGTCGAGGTGGTAAGGGTCGAGGTGGCAGTGTACCTCACACTCTTCTCTGCACTCCTGACAGACATCACCCGTCAGTAGCTGCATTGTTTTCCTCTAAGCCTCAAGTTAGATTTCC